CATGATTTTCTGTTGAATTGACATCAGGTTTAGTTGCCAGTTTTTGCAAATATAAATTGTTCTTGTTCAGCTTGGGATATGAGCTGCATTAATAAGTTACTGTTTCAAAAGAGATACGTTATAAAAACTTAATAGTAGATGCTGGGAACAGGTTTCAGGATCAATCTGACTACCAGTTCCTTAGTTCTTTCAGTGCGAGGTCTGCAGATGAGAGTTGCATAGGCACGGTGTCAGTTAACTATTTGTTAAACAGCTAGTAGATTTGTGAGCTTGTGTGAATCATCTGCCCAGGCACTATGCATTATCTTATGGTAGCAGTGATGGCTTTTACATGTGTGGGTGCACCACAGGGAATTGCTGGTCTTTAAAAAGTTATGTTGCTTTGAGTTGTTATAATTTTGCCCCAGATTCGTGAATGAGATCTGAAGGAAGCTGCTTAGCTGCATAACGAAGTAGAAATGTCGTCCAAGTTCTCTAGCTTCATCCTTTGTTGTACTTGCATAGGCTTAATTACAGATCATTATACCTTTTGGAAGTTGGAAGAGTGACTTGCAGTCATAACATCCTACCATAGAATGATTTCTCTCTGAATATACAACTGTGGTATTATGTTTCTGGCTTTGGATAACAATTATGTGGCCCATAATTTGTGAAGGATAACTTTGAATATTTACCTCAGCTTTTCCTACTGTATTTTAGCAGTCTGAGTGAATAGCACTTGAAAGGTATTCAAAACTTTACAAATTATTATTCTTTCTTTAAGCTCTACTCCTGAGCTATTGCTTGGATCGGAGTGAGAAAAGACTACAACTCAGTGATCACTAAGAACGGGAGAAATTTTTTCTGAAGAAAAAACACTGGAAATACGTGGTTATAACTTCTGTTTGTTAGTCCTCTAATAGCAGCTTTTAAGTGTAGCACCTGTTTCAGAACATAAATCTAACCGTATGGCTGTGCATTTTTGTATCTGCAAGTAGGATTCTCTGTTTCTTTAGACTAAAAGTGCCGTTCCTTTTTCCAAAATTAGAAGGTAGAAGACAGGTCTGGTGAGGAAGGGTGGACAATACAACCAGTGCTTGCCAGGCATGTAATAAATGCAGTTGCAGATAAATGGACATCAAGAAATGATAGCTGCCTGTAAAAGATCAATGAAATGGTCTGTAATGAATCTCTACCTTAAGTTAGCCATTTGCTGGGAGCATCCTGGAACTTAGGAGCTGGAGGGTTAGGTGTGAAAGAAGTTGACTTAAAAATAATGCAGCCCTCCAAACCAAAGGAACTATACCTCAAACTCTATGATAGCATTATGTGTATATGGGAAATCATTGAAAAACAAACAAGTAAAAAAACCTCAACAACTACTGCTTCATGGTTGTGCGCTAAACATAACTTTTTGCCAGACTATATAAAATATAAATGATTAGCAACTTCTGATGTCAAGGAGACCGTCCTGAGCAAATTTCTCAGATGCACACGTATGCACGCACATTCTCACTCTGCTCTAATGCAAATTTTAAAAAGAAAAAAAACAGTTTTCTTTGGATGAACTGGCAGTTTTCACATAGCCTAGCGTCTGGCTACTCTGTCTGAAATTACCTGAGCCTTCGGAGTCTTGGGAACATTCACATTTTCAACTGCTGCACTGGCATTTCTGTGGAAAAGTAGTATTTGTTTGGAGAAATGATTGTGTGAAGGAAGCCTAGGTGAGTTCAGTAACCACTAACTGAAGGCACTCCTCTTCGGGTAGTTCCCAACCTCTCCTTTAGGTTGCCTGCCACTTTCTTCTTCCTTTATTAGACTGCCTTCAGAGAAAGAAACACTGTCATAGAGTTCTCTGGCATCCTACATGCTAGTTCCTACAGACTCAGACTTGCAATGTTTTGGCATTTATGAAATACACCCCATTACACAACTGGTTATCTCTAAGTCAGACCTGGCTAAAATTTGGATTCTTTATCTGGGAAACGTTTATTCAATTCTAGGTGTTTGTTGTTGAGCTGCCTGTTTCATAATGGCATGTCTGAGATTACAGCTATTGAAGAAAAGAGTGTTAACCAGTTTGGCTGTTTTGGATAAAGATTGTGCAAGCATGTATGAACACTGTTATTAGTGGCAAAACTACATTTCTGCTATAGATTGTTTTATTTGAATTAATGCTGGGAATATTTCATGCGTGTGTACAATGTATAAATTTGCCAGACCTGAATACGGCTGCAGAATGCCCTGCCAGCATTTTTCCAATAGTGCCCTTGCACTGCTGGAACAGTGTGAGTGTGGACTTGGCTGGGTGAGGTGAGACTGACTCAGAGAGCTGCCTTCTGTTGTTTTATTCTTTTTAAAAAGCCAGCATTTTTTTCTGTACGTAGATACTGAATGTACATATATCTCTTTTCACACATAACAAGACGTAAAAATACAGATAGGAAAAAGTTTTGCCCTGTTTTACAGATTTTTTGAAATTCCCTCAAAATATTAATTCTAATGGAAACAAATGAAAGTGATGTTGAATATGAAATCAAATTTTGCCATCGGTGTTTTTCTGTGGGGGGAAAAAAAAAGATTGATTGCCTGTCCAGCCTAACTTTAGAAACAGACTATTTAACACAGCTGGTGGTGAGAGACGACTTGATTTCTACCTGATTTGTGTATCTATTGTTATATCTCAGCTCTCAATGGCTTCATAGCTTTTTAATTTATGTAAGTCAAACAGTTACTGTAGTATGTTTTCCTGTGCTTTCGTTTGGATTTCCAATAGTAACCCGCAGGTTTGTGATACGCTAAGTTAGAGCTGCTTGGGGGTTGCAGTTTTGATTCAGACCACGAATGCATTTTTGTGGATTTATGACAAAGTTTCAAAGGTGGGGTCCCCTCTGCATTACAATGGGAGATCCTGTACTGGTTTTTCAGACGATTTTTGGGTTGCCTAAGGGAAGGCAATTGCAGTCCATGTCCATGTGTCAATCTATGGAGATGATATGCAGCATTACACTGCCCTTAGAGGCAAGAAACAGTATACTGCTTTTTGCCAAGGGATCTGTGGGAGAGATCATAAAGTTTGCACCAGATAAAAGATCTGCCAGTCTTGAACTAGTCTTAAAATCAGTCCAAATCATTCTTTATCCTTTAACATCAAAAGAAATAGTTGTTTCCACATCTCTTTTGAAGGATTAGTGTATGAAAAAGCTTATGTATACTTAGGCTTAATGTTAGAGGCTTTTTTTGAAGTTGCATCAGATCTGTTTAGCTTGGTGATGTTTACCAACTCTGAATACTTAGTTTGACTTCTGGGGCAGTACTGAGAGTTAAATATGTCAACAGCTGACTTCATGAAAGAAGGTGCGTTCAATTCCTGCTTGTACAGTCCCCCGTCGAAGCATCATGCAGCATGGCTGATGGCAGAATCTATTCTGAGAAATTTCTAGTGAGAAATGCCAATAAAATACAAAACACAGCCCTTCTCTACCATTTTCTTTGTATGTCGACTGCAATCAACTGAAATTTTGTTCTCTTTTGTGTTTTTTCTCCTTTCTTCCTGAAAGGGTATGTTTTATAATCTAAAAATAAAAACAAACAAAAAAAACCCCTAACCCAGCTTCAGTCATATGCAAGGGCTAATGCAGTGGTGATAGTAATTATCAATAGCTTGCTACAATAAGATTTGTTTCTGTGTAAAAAAAGTGCTTACAGGTGTTTTGTGCTCTTGTATATGCTGGTTTCTTTTTTTTGTGTGTGTTTTTCCTCCCATACAACTCAAATGTTTCATGTTTTAAGCTATCAGGATAACTTGCGATCTGTGGGAGTACCATTACATTTTGGTGCCATTAGTATTTTATTACCCCCTCCTCACTGTGTTCTGAAAACTTTGTTGGAATACCTTTTAAAGATTTGAAAAGTGGTAACAATTTATATTTCTTGTCTGATCTGTCTTTGGTGTCAGTGACGTGACATTTATTAACAGGGTTGGTTGGGGGCAGGGTAGTATTTAGCACAAGCTGAACTCGGATGACGTTATTTCTTAAAGGCAGAAATTTTGGATTTAAATTGTATTTTAGAATGGTGCTAATGAGTAGTAGGAAAATTATTTATTTCACGCTAACTAAAAATTCATCAAAGTTTGGATCAATGCTTGATTTGTTTCCCTTGCCAGAGCTGCTCTGTCTGCAACTGGGAAGCTTGTTTTAGGATTACTGCTCTGGAGAATCCTTCGACCAGGTTGTAAATAGATTGCTCAGAGTCATAACAAAGGCAGGAGCTTCCAGAGCAGTTGGGAGGTTTGCCAGGCTGCTTTCCGTGTGAGGGTGTAGGTTCTTCAGTGTGAAACCATCTGTGTAATCAGGAAAAAATGTTTTGGGGTCTTAAATGTTTTCTGTAGGTAACATAAGGTAGGAAACATATCTTCACTAATTCTGTCCTGTGCTCTTGCTGCTCCACAATTTATTTTTACCTTAAAATCAGCAGTTCAGTAAGCCTAGCTAAAATCATAGAATTGGATATTGTCTTGAGTCTTGGCATAGGTGGTAAATTTAATCAGTCTTGAGGAAGACAGGTGCTTTTTGTGGGGGGAGAAAGATGATACGTGTACCATAGTACTCTGGTGTTTTAATGTTCTTTAGAGGCCACGGATGCTGCAGAGCAGTGAAGACTTTTTTTTTCTTTTTTTTTTTTTTTTTTTTTTTTTTTTTTTTTTTTTTTTTTTTTTTTTTTTTTTTTTTTTTTTTTTTTTTTTTTTTTTTTTTTTTTTTTTTTTTTTTTACTCTTACTGTACTTATGCTACTAGCTGGATGGGTTCACCAGATTCAGTGCACACACTACTTGACAGAGCCAAGTTATCCAGGTAGAATAAAAATAAACTGCCTACGCAAAGTATGGTCTCTGCTTCCCCGAGCCTTGGTTGGGGTGGAGGGGGTGGCAGCTGCTTCTGGGAGGAAGGGAGGCTTCCCTCGGTCTCTGGCTGTCTGGTGTCTGCATTCTCAGCCATCACGAATGTTTTCTTTTTGCAGATGACACGATTGGTGCTGCCCAGCATGCTGGAAAGGTGAGTCACACTAACACTATCCAGACAAAGTCATCATTATTTATAGGGGAGAATCCTTTCTTGAAAAATTCATTACTGTGACTAATCAGCCTAGTCTCCATGTTTTAAAGGCAGAGTAATGCTGGGTGAGTCACGCTGATGGTGCATGAATCATCAGACGGTGGAAGCCTTTTCCACTCGATTCCCTTTTTATTTTTCCTCTCCCTTCTCCACTGTTGTGGTGATTCCTTTTAGAACAGAATTAAAAAGCCCGTCTGACTCATCAGCACTAACTCAACAACCTGCTATTCTGAGGGGGTGGTTACAGTTCCTGGGAATAACCTTCTTAAGGCTATTTCTCTAAGTCATTGTAAGTAAAATGGATGCAAAGAATATGTTCTCATTATACAGTAGGAGTTATATTGAGGAAAGTCTGTGATCATTTGGAAAACTAGAATTGGAGACCAGCTCTTTAAAATAACAGTTAATGCACACCACTGTCGCCGCGGAAGACGTGAACTGACTCCCTAGCTAGCTCCCAGGTGAAACTAAAAGGTGCACAGTTTCCGTGTAGTCCCTCCAGGCTGTTTTCTAGCGGATGTTGACTGTCCCAGGCTGCTTGCCGTCTCTGTTGCGGTGCTAACCCTGGCTTGCTGGGGTGTTGCCCTCGGTCAGGGCTGAGCTACGCTTGCCATACTGAGGAAAGCTGTGTGGAACCATGCATGACAGTCACCATGGTATTGCCTCCAAACGAATACTCCAGGAGGAGCATATGTACAGGGCAAACCTCCAAATCCGACAAAGATTAAGAAAAAAATTGGTATTTCTTGTATCATCCCACTATCTGGGAGTCTTCATTGCAGATCAGGATTCAATTATTCAGGTGTTGCACAGATGCAGAGCAAATGTTTGACATCTAAAACAAAGTTTCTTCATGGTTATAAACTGTCAGAGCCAGTGGCCAGTATGGGAGTCAAGTGTCTAGCACGTCAGGGTGATGGCGAGCTTAGATTTTTACTTAAATGATCAGGAGATAAGGAGTTTATTTCATGTAAAGGAACTTGAATTAGAAAGGAAGACCCAGGACAGAGCTCTGAGGCGGGAGTATAATATTTCCCAATAAAGCTGGAGTAGAGGATGAGGATTATAGTACAGTGGGGGTAGCTACTTAGGGTTTGTAAGTCAAAAGTTACTCCTTGCCCATGTACTATTATTGATGGGTAAAGGGACCTGTCTTTTGTGAAACCACTGCCCTGTGAAGATGCCAACATGACCAAAGCCATTCTGTTTTCTAAGGATTTAATGTTGTTTTGTTATCAATTTTTGGAACTTTGAAGCTCTAGCAATTTCTTGCCTCAGTTTCTTCTTTGTCTAAAGAAATGTCATATTTATCTATTTGGCAAAGTTGATCTCTTCAGCTTCTTAGGACAGAATGATATATACTCTACTTATAGAATATCCTGTGTATGTTTTTCTGTTACATATTAACCTGGGTAAGATGATCTGAATGAAAGGCAGCAAACTGGGATCCTGCTGACTTCTGGTTCTGACTACCCTTGAGCATACCATGTCATGTTTCTTTTCACTTTTCCTAACTACATGATTACTTCAGGAATCTCAAGGATAAATGTTAAAGAAGCAGCTTAGAAAGAAAAGGTTGATAGTGGTTAAAAAAAAAAAAAGTACACATCTTGAACTTTTTCCTGTGTGTGAGCAGCCACTTTGAATGACTGCTCCATTTGAATGAAGCCTTGGTTTCTGTCCCAGGGAAAAATATTTGAAAAAGCTTCCATTTTCTGTTTCGTTTTGTGAAGTCAGTTGGGTTTGCAGTGCACAGAAGCAATGTCTGCAGCTGCCAACTCCTGCATAGTCATAGCTCACAGGCCATTAACACTGCTAAGAGTCTGTAACCACAGGAGGACATGGCTGTCCAGCAAATCCAAGAGCATGAACGAATGGTAGCTGTACTTGGCTGCTCTTTGGGCCAGCCATAAATTTCTCCCATGGGACTGCAGGTTAGGAAAAAGGGCTCCAGGCTCTAAGAATAAAACTAGACTAGGAATCCCATCATTATTCCGTACTTGTTCAGGGAGGATAGCTTGTTGAGTAGAGAGATGTGACAGTACACTATAGCGTCTTGCAGCTGTAGTGTGTACTTTTACGTATTTGAGTGCGGTTTTTTTAATGGCAATATATTACAAGACAAATACAGAAATAGAGCAGACTTTACATGCTTTGCATCCAGGTCTGTGAGGAGAAAACACAAGTGCCTCTTGGTGTGTCTGTTACTTTTTATTTATAATAAACATAGCAGCATTAGATGAATGCCACTTTTGGTAATGGCATTTAGATTCTCTGCTGTGGCTCCTCTCCTGTGCTCTGAACACTTAAAGTGACAATTTATAATCTGTGGCTTCCTATTACACTTAAATGAGCAGTTCCTCTGTAAATTTTCAGGCTACTGTCTAAGGTGGAAGACTCATAGAACTGAAAATCGAGGCTTGATGTCTTTGGGAACAAAAAAACCACCAACAACAAAAATCAGTTGACTGTTTCTAGACAAATATCAAACTATGGTATTTATTGCCAGGGAAGTAGCAAGTGCATAATTACATTACAGAGGAAGCTTGCTCTTTCCACTTGGCGTGCAGCTGGAGCAGGCGCTGGTTACCACAGCAACAGGGAGATGGCTAAATATAGCCTCCCCGGCGCTGGACCGCTTAAGGTAGAATGATGGGGAGGTGTGAGGGTGTGGGCCTGGCTCTCCATCTTGACCAACTTTTTTTTTTAAGTGCATAGTTGAGTTGGATGGAGCCAAAATTTTTTTGCTGCACTGATGCTCGCTTAGTTCTTCAGGTGCCTCCCTAAAGACACTTCTTCTGCAATTCCTCTAAGAAGCGAAATTTATAATGGGAGTAATTGGAAGTGTTCCCCTACAAGCATGTTTCTCAGTTTCCTTTTTCCTGGAGGTTTTAAGTTACGAGCTTTTAAGGCTAGGACTGTGTTCTTTATAAAGAAAAAATACAAACCACAAAATGCACAGTGGCATTGACTGCTTCAAAAAGACCAATACATGGAGCTTCTGCAAGGGGCTGCTATTAATTTGTTGTGTTTCCAAGAGGGCTTTCTTCACTGGCTCAGACCATTAATTCACTGCACCTAGATGATGGCACTAGTGCTGGAGAGTTGCAGCCTAGCCAGATGCTGCAAGACCTGTGCTTTACAGCCTGAATGCCAACCTCTCTTCTAAAGCTTCAGTTTGTTTTATAAGTATGAGGCTTGTGTTTATCCATATAAATGCTTACCCCTTTTTGAATCCTATTAAGCTTTTGTCCTCAATTAAGTTTTATGACAAGCACTCCCATAGTCTGAATATGGGAAGAGCACTTCCTTTTATCAGGTCTAAATTTCAGCCTTTCACTTAAATAAATGCCATCTTTCTTTTGTATTCTGAGAGGATAAATCAAGATCTTGATCTTTGCCATTCATTAGTCTGTTTACTCTTATCGTGGCTGTTCTTAATAGTCTCTTAAATAGCTAAATTGAACCAATCTTTTCACCTCATTGATGTATCAGGTGGGTTTTTTTGCCTTTCTTAAATCATCAGGTTATTAATATTTCTGTCCTATATTTGGATAGAAGTGTTCCATAGACTGTAATACAAGATTTCAGTCGTGGTGGGTCTGTCCCTGCTATTCCCACCATCCTGTTCTTTGGCTGGTTTTGGTGACTGCTGCACAAAAGAGAACTTGTGGACTTCGTTCAAGTTTTCCAGGGAGCAGATAGTTGATTTAGAGTCCTGCAAGGTTTGTGATTAGTTCACGTTATTTTCTTTAGTATGCGTTGTTGGTTTTGTTAATATTGATTTTTCATCTGCCATTCTGTTGTCTGTTCACACAGCAGTCTGAGCTCTTTAAAAAGTTCCTTGTAGTATTCTCCAATCTGGTAATCTCTTAAAAACTGCATGAATACTCATTTCACTGCTAATCCCCATTTGAGCTCATGAATAAATATCACAAGCACCACCTGTCTTGATATGAAAAACTTCTGGCATCCACTGTTAACCTTTTGCTGTCGTGAAAATTCATGATTAATTTGTGCTCTTATTTTCTCTATGCTACATATTTTGATCCACATTACTACTTTATTTCACCATCCAAGCTTTGCAGATAACTCCTGAAAAATACAACAAACTTTGGTAAAGGTGTTCGAAATCCTGAATGACTGAAATGATTCTTTTCTGTCACGTTAGCCATCTCATTTCTAGAGGTGAATCAATCACAGATTTAATTCACGCTTTTATCGTGGCAGAAGCCATGTCGGTTTGAATGTATTGTCACGATTTTCAGAGTTGTATCGTTTTAATTTTTAATGGTCACTTAAGCTCAGCTGTTTGTTTTCAAGATGGCTACTTAAATCATTGTGGCAGCAGCAGCAGCATAGAGTACACGCCGATGAACAGATATGATGAGAAACTCGTATGTGAATCTGCAGGAGCTGAGCTGCGTGATGCCCACCTGCATGCATGTTCTCACTCTGCACTAAACAGCATACTTAGTAGTACATTCAGATAAACTGGCTTGGATTTACTACAGGGTAAGAAGAAGCAGAGATGCATCTTTCACTGTGTTGGACTGTCTGGTAGCACCTTCTAGCAGCGTACTTACCCTAATTTGCCTGAAGCTTTAAAAACGAATTCTTCTTTCTACCTAGCACTAAATAATACGTCTGGTTTTGTAGGTAAAACTAGCCACAGAAACAGACATGCTCAAAATGAGTCAGTTGGTTGGGAAACCCAGGAGTCTTACTTTCTGTCCTACCCGCACATGCTTTAGAAGTGCTTGGCAGAGCAGGTGGTAGCTAATTTCAGACTGGTACCCTTACCTAAATATTATTGTGAAATACTTTGTGTTAGTGTAATACAGCTGTAAAACAACTCTTATTTTCTGTAGTCATCCACTGAATATCTTCCATACTATATTAAAACACTTCTGTATTTGAGCAGTAGATTCAGATACTTCCTATCTTGACGATCCATCATGAAGTACCATTTAGAAGATGAAAGGGATTATCAAAGTGTAAACTATACAACAAACTTGTATTGCCATTTCTGCCACCTTAGCCTGAGATTTAGAAGTTGTCTTTTAGACTTGGGCCATCTTCTCTCAATCCGTTTGGCATAGTTTAGCCCAGTGTGTGTGTGTGTGTGTGTGTGTATATATATATATATATATGTATGGAGCTTGATTCTCTTGCTGTATTGACCTTGGATTTGTTCCTGATTTATACCAGCTGCTTGAATACTTATATTGTGCTTAAAATCATATTAATAAATTTCAATTTAGGATTTGGTTGGGGTTTTTAAACAGACCTTAATCTCAATTGCTAAAGGTTTTCTTTAGGCTTGCAGTAATTTTCTGAAACATGAAAGATGTTTCCTTTGTTTAATGATAATATATCTTCACTGCCTTTCAGATCAAAAGGGGTAATCCTGAATATCTCCTCAGCTGCTGGGATGTATCCAACTCCACTGCTGACTCTTTACTCCGCAACCAAGGTAAGTGTTCTTTTCCACACCGAAATCAAGTGTCAAACATAAGCCAACGCTACAGGAATAAATGTTTTGGTGTCCATCTAGTGGTGCTTTCAAGAACTAGAAGTACTGAGTTTCTAACTTGAATTTTTCCAATAGTGGAAGCTGAAAGGTCGAGAGAAAAATGAGTGCAAGGGTTTACTGGCATGGAAATGACTATTGTATATATTTCATCATGCGTTCTACTTTTACGTGGAAAAGGATGCTAGTGTACCAAGCAAGCTTAGTGTGAGGTTGAGAAAGGACACTGACTGAAGTTTCACACACTTATTTTGAAACTTTTTTCCCTTGACATTACTGAAGATGTGTATCTTCAATATATATGTACATATATTTATTTAAGTAGGACTCTTCTGGTGCTTGCTGGAAGCAAACTTTGTCCTCATTTTTTATTAGTTTCCTTAAGTGTAGCATTTCAGGTAAGAGAAGAGATAGAGCTCTAGGGCCTCACCGTTACCAGATAGTCAGCTTCCCTTGATCTGCTGACCACACATCCTGCGAACGTAGCCCAGTATGTCATTCGATGTTCTTGCAGTGAGTGGATTATTGGCTTATCTTCTCCCTGGCAGGCACCATAAATTCCAGGTTCTTTGCACAAGGGCTGCTACTCGACCAAAATTAAGGCATGACTTTATCCCACTCTGTATGCAGAACTTTGCACTTCAGTCTGTGCCAGTCAAGAAATCTCATGATGTTTAACAATAATCAAGTTTATCAAGGTCTCTCTGGACTGAAGCTCTGTCGTGTCAGCTGTTCCATCCAACACTGTCATCTGCAAATTTGCTGAGGGTGTGCTCTGTGTCATCCTCTAGGTCCCTGATAGGAGATACTGAAGAATATGGGCCTTTATTGATCTGTAAGGTTCTCTGCTTGTTATCAGCCAGATGTCAAGCTATTGATGATGGCCCATTGGGCCTGGTGGTCCAGCCAATTTTCAGTCTGGCTAGCAGTTTGTCCTTTCAGCACATATCTGCTCAACTTCCAAATGAGAATGCTGCAGAAGATGGTGTGAAAAGCTTTACTGAAGTGAAAATGTGTATACACACACACATATAGTTTATATGTATTAAAAATCTGTTTTCCTCATCTACAAAGCTAGTCCACTCCATTGTAGAAAGCAATTTAGTTGGTCAAACATGATTTGCTGTTGGTAAATCTGTGTTGACTGTTTCTGATGTATCTTCTTGTCCTTTATGTGATTGAATTCCAAGAGGAGGGCTCCCTGATATTTCCACAAACTGAGCTAAAGCTGACGGGATCATTCTTGCCTTTTCAAGGAGGGATGTATTAGCCCTCTTCCAGTTGTCAAAGACCTCCCCCAGTTTCCATAGTTTTTCAGATATCGTAGGCAGCAGACTTGTATACATACAGACTAGTTCTTTCAGCTCTCTTGAGTGAATCCATGGTGGCTCCAAGGGTTTGAATACATTGAGCTTCTCTGAGTAGTCCCTAAATTGTTGCTGCCTCTGCCTCTCTCTTTCATTAAACAAAGTTGGTGCATGCAGAGGCACGTGAGCAGGCTTTGGCTGTGCAAACACAAGAGAAGTGTTGAATACCTTAATCTTTTTCACTCCTTTATCTCTAGCTTGTCTCCCTCATCCATCAGCAGACCTCATTTCTCTGAAATTACTCTTGAAACTAGTGTACCTGTAGGATCCTTTACTGCTACCCTTAATGTCCTTTGCTAGTCTTTTCCTAGCTTGGATTTTATTCTAAGTACCCAATAATGTTTTATGTTTCTCTTCTGTTTCTGTCTCTCATATGCTCATTTTTAGTTTGCCAAGAAGCTCCCGACTTAGCCAAACACTCCTTTTACTGAAATTTCCTGTCTTCTTCCACGATAAGCTGGTTTATTTTACCAGTTCATAAGTTACTACTCTAGATCTACGTTTCATGTTACATTTATCTGCTCTGGTTTCTTTGTGTGTCACTGGGACAGCTTTGTCTGTCTGCAGCTGGTCTTATAGGCGCTTCCAAAATGTTCATCCAGAAGGTCTCCAGTTAACGCCGTAAAGACAGAATATGGGTAACGTGGTATGCAACTGAAGTATACATGATAAAACTAAATGCAAGAGACATTTATGCTGGTATTAAAGCAGTATGGCATGACAGCTTTTTCAGGTGCATCTCGTAATTACCTTAAATACTTCAAGGATTTCAGAGTCTAAGCAGAACCGTAACAGGATGGAGAAACCTTCGGTAGTGTCATTCATGTCAGAAAAGACCTATTTTTCCTCTAGACTCTCGGTAAAGTCTTCATATTTCCAGAAAGGAACTGATGCACACTATTTTATTCATACTAAAGGAGAGAATATTTAAGTTTAGAAATCATGAAAGACTGAATTAGGTTTAGCTGATAAAATTTGCTCCTGAAATAGCTGTTTCCTGAGAGCACAGTTCTTTGTTTTAATACGAAAGGTCACTTTCATTGTGGCAGTGCCTTCAGCTTTATGGAATGAATTGAGCTTCTGATTTTAGTGATAATATGCCTTACACTGCTTTGGTTAGTCTTTTTTTCAATGATAATCTCAAATTTTTCCTCCCCTCCCCCTAAGAAACTCAATTACATGTTAAGTAATCTGCCTATTCTCAGCACTGCTCATCTACCACAGCAAGATTAGTAAGCATGAAAGTGACTCCCCTAATGCAGCTATAGAAAGACTGTATCTGCAATTTCTAGGTTGGTTTTTTTTTTCCTCATCTATATGGAGGGGGTTTAAAGCATAGTATCCTTCAGGTCTAAGTCAATGGCTTTGGCTAATTATCAGGAACAGTCGCAGTCCAACTCTTTAACCTTCCTGTGGAGAATTCCCTATTTTACAATGAAACGAGACACTTTTAAAGGAATTGTAGTCCTGTTTTTGACAGGCTTACCTATCTACCTGCATTAATACTAATGAGAAGTGAAATACCATCCCACCCCCCCTGCCACGTCTTTCGTATTTGGGTTTGTTACTGGATATCCAGGAGAAGTTTTCTTAATGCAATGTTTATCTGTTTATTCAGGGGGTGCTTAATTAGATGATATCCTTAAGGCTGTTTTAAATGAGAGGCTGCTGGGAGGCTTGAGGATCTGGAGGTAGAAAACACACCTTGTCTTGAAATAAATTCTTCAAGAAGAAAAGCTCCAAAGTTTATTTGGATACTGGAAGTTGCTTTTTCTTCTCATGTAAAATGAACATTCTCTTTATTGCAAGCTCTTTGCAACCAGTAGAGATGACAGTCTCTTTATGCTGTCTTTCCATATTTGGTACAGTAACTGATTTCAGGACTCTGTCATGTAGTAGTTAGGAATTGGAATGATCAAAGCCTTCTGATTAACGCAATATAGTTTTTTATTTATTTTTAATAGATTATTGATATACTTGCTGCAGTTACCACACATACACCTGGCAACTGTGTCCAGGGACTGCACTGAACTATTTGCATGTCTGTGCAAGTGCCTTATTGTTGCAATAGCACGACTAGCTCACTTGAACCATTGCTGCTAGACCTGATTTTCAGAGACTTGTTGAATACTGCATTTCATTAAGAACTTATACTTGGAGGAAGAGGAGAAGGAAAGAACAGCTGGAAGAAGATAAGCCTTTTTGGCTTAATGAGCCTCCTTCTAGCTTGTACACGCAACTTGAAGAATAAAAAGACCTATCTGCTATGCAGCAAAATCTAGTTTTCTTTCAGATCTTGTGTACGCTCAGAAAAATGTCTATAGAAATAGCCCAGTAGCATGGGAATGTTTCTTTTGCTTCTTCTATAGGCTGAGTTCAGTAGGATGACTTTAATAGGAAAAACACGGGGCACTGCAAGCTTTAAGCACTGGTTTCAGTTAGGACTTCTGTTAATCCAGTGGTGACACGGTCAGCAAAGGAAGCCTGTAAAGCAGGTGCAATACTAGAGCTTTGCTCTTTGTTTTGAAACTGATCTGAAGCAACTGCTTCTTAAATACTTGAATTCGTTTATTTAGTATTTATTTTAGCTTCAAGCATGGATAAGATAGTTTAGTTCCTTCAGGTAAAGGTACTCCATTCATCCTACTTGGCTGTATTGTTTCACTGAAACAAGAAACCATAGCAGAACCTGGTATTTTGTCTCACTGGACTGCAGGAGGGAAAAGTGGAAAGGTGATTTAGAAGAACTTGGGGAGGGGGAATCTATGCTGGTTTGAACTGCTGAGTAGCCTTGGGTTATTAGGACAATACTTTCTTGTGGTGGTTGTGGAGGTGGCTGTATCAGATGTGAGGGCATCTTGAAGGCAGGTACTAGCATCCACCTTTTAAGCCCTTTCACTTCTTTCTTGCAACTTTTAGTCTTGTAATTTCTAAAACTTCCAGAAGTTTGGGAAAGAATCTGTGGTAGTGGACTTCAGGACTAGCAAGAAGTATCACTGTAGGGTGGCGTTTCTTAAACATGTAAAGGCAGAAGACAAAGTATTTAAATACTATGCTTTAAAAACCATGCACTAGAGAAACCTACTTAAATCACTCTTTAAAAAATAAAAAAGTCTAAGGAGATGACATAAGTAGTGGACAATGTGAACATATGAAGTCTTATTTTCCTTTTTTAACTAGGCTTTATGTAACAAATCTAGTTCCTTTTCCTTCTAAATTAAAAAAGGTTTTATTTTGTTTAGATTGAGCCTCACTTCTGTAAAAATGCTCTGTAAGCATAGGGTTTCTATTCAGATGGCATTGCTCTAATACGCAAAGTTTCTTTGAAAACCTAAGGTTTTTCACTCTGAAAACAGGAACTATAAATAGTAATTCAAATATGCTTACAAAAACCTGCAAAGTACAGTTTCCATTTTAATATGTAGCATGCTGCATATTTCCCTTCTTTTCTCTCTAGGCTTTTATGGATTACTTCTCCCGAGGCCTCCATGCAGAATACAAGAGCAAAGGCATCATTGTGCAGGTGAGTAGAGTTTGTTTCATCTAAGTGTGGTTACCACAGCAACATTGGTGTCTTGGTAACAAAAGGGAATCAGCATATTCTCTTATTCATGAATATGTGACGCAGATTAAGGATAAGGATTTCCTTTGATCCCATTAGAAGCTTGCTTAAGTTCCTCTGAAACAATACGTCTTGAAGCAACAAAAAACATGTTTGGTTTTTTTTATTATTATAGAATCATAGAATCATTAAGGTTGGAGATGGAATCCAACCATTAACCTAACTGCCAGATCCACCTCTAAACCATGTCCCTAAGCACCACATCCACATGTTTTTTCAATACTTCCAGGGACTGTGATTGCACCTCTTCCCTAGACAGTCTGTTTCAATGCCTTACTACTCTCTCCATGAAGAAATTTTTCCTAATATCTAATCTAAACCTGCCCTGGTGCAGCTTGAGGCCGTTTCCTCTCATCCTATCGCTTGTTACTAGGGAGAAGAGACCAACCCCCACCTCGCTACAACCTCCTTTCAGGTAATTGTAGAGAGCAATAAGGTCTCCCCGCAGCCTTCTTTTCTCCAGACTAAACAACCCCAGCTCCCTCAGCCGCTCCTTGTAAGACTTGTGCTCTAGACCCTTCACCAGCTTCGTTGTCCTTCTCTGGACACGCTCCAGCACCTCAATGTCCTTCCTGTAGTGAGGGCCCCAACACTGAATACAGTATTCAAGGTGTAGCCTCACCAGTGCTGAGTACAGGGCCACTATCACCTCCCTGGTCCTGCTGGCCACGCTATTCCTGATACGCTATTCCTGATACACCTGAGCACACTGCTGGCTCATGTTCAGCCGGCTGTCAACCAGCACCCCGAGGTCCTTGGTAATTGAACCTTTAAGTATAAAATATTCCACTGAACTGTGTGCAACTCTGTAGAATACATCTTTATACAACTTAATCTACTGGAATGCACTTTTGGAGTGCATTTGTACAGAGATTCAACAGGTAACTGCTCAAAAGACTAGGACAGTGGCAGTCCATTCCCTGCAGTGTCAGTGAATCAACTGCTAGTGTAAGCATAGTAGCAAGAACAAACAAAACCCTCAAAGACCCTTTGTACATAATGGACTGATTTAATTTTCTTTAGTACTGGCTTTCCACATTAGTAATGAGTCCTGCTTTTTCCCCCCCATTTGTTTACCTTCAGTGGTTTTAAGTATTTTTGATGGGGCATAAAAGCAAACCAAGCCAGTCTCTCACAACTTTATGTGATTTTGCTTTAATATCACTTCTCAAAGCTGGAATTTCCAGCTTTGGTTGCAACCACTGAGTTTTTCCATTACTTATTACACCTGTTGCTCTTCAGAGTAATAGTCAGTTTGATAAAGGTGGTATAAGATCTTACCTGTACTGTGAAGACAGTGGTGTCTCTTTTTTTTTTTTTCCCCAGTTATGGATCTTCTTACAAACAGGATTAGCTTATGTCCATGTCTGTCATTCCCCTATTCAGTATGGTGGTTCTCAAAACCATCTGAACTCTGAAGGCCCTATGAGGAGTAAGGCACAAAGTTGCCTGCCCTATTTGTGTAATCATTAAGCATGAGAGCACAACTTTTATTACTGGTTAAAACCATAGAGAAGTTGTTACCAACTTAGGGCTATGTTACCTTCTTGACGTGCTACATTTGCTTCCCTTTAAGCATACTTAGAAAAACAAGAACTTATCACCAGGAAATGTCCTGCAGTTTAGTATCCAGATGTTTAGTCACAGATGTTTAGTATAATGTCCTGTCCCAGTTCCTGAGAGAGGATTGTGTTAAGAAAAAAGGCAATTGCTGGGTAAGCTATTCCCATGCAGTCACCGACCCTTTAATGGGGACCTCAATTAAACCTAGGTGTAAACCTTATACTAAACATCTTAAGGGATGCTGTTTATTTTGGGGTCTGTTGGCAGTGGACAGGAAGCTAGCAAAGGTGGTCCCTGAAAGCATTCTAACTACTGTTGTTATAGACCTTCTGGAGGACAGACTAGGTGACGTTAGTTTTACGCTGGTAACAGATTATAACTTGCTGTAGAGCTCCCAAAGCATAACTTCTCCTCAGAGTGCTTGATGCTGTGTCCTGGCACCCTGGGATGTACCTTTAGCTAAACCAATGTGCAGCAATGAAGGATGCATAAGAAGGTAGCACTCTGAATGGGTACACATTCAGCATACAGGGTGGTTTGTGTGGGCTCTCCGTTCTTGAAGTGGATTAAGCTGGAGCAACTTTTAGTGTTTTATGTCTCCTTGTTACTTTCTCTTCTTACAGGGTTTTCCAAACCTTCCCTGGCTTCAGCCCCAAACTGTCCAGCAATGGGTCAATTTTTACCATACTGCAAGTTTCTTACAGCTTTCTTTTCACTTTTACCCTTCTGTATCACTTCTATCTCCCCAGTGTGGTTCAAGCTCTATTACTTGCAGATTTACCTTCATTATCAGAGAGCTGTTCTACATTTCCTCTACATGCAGTATGGCCCTCTTTTAATCTGTGGTTGCTGTCTCCGAATGAGACTGAAGGAACGGGTACAGTGTTTCTCTTTTCTACATCAATAATATAAAGTCTTCTGGTAGGATTTCTTTCCTGTTCAAGCCTATCTACAAGCTGTGATGCACAGGCTCCTTCAACACACACCTTCACTGGCAATAGAGCTGGGTGGGATTTTTTTTTGTGTGTGTGTTGCCGTACGATGTCTAAGCTCTTTCTGTGTTTTCTGGTGTTTACTCAAGTAAAGCTGCTGATAGTTACCTCAGTGTGAGACTATTTAGAGACAGATGCTTGCAGGAGAAAGTAGTGTTACATCTTTGAGATGTGTTGTTCCTATGTGCCCTTGTAACCAGGCAGTGTCTTCCTCCCCAAATTTTGCTTAAATAGTACTGTCGGTTGGAGAGGAAAACAAAGAAAGAGCAGATACTGCTCACTTATGACTATGGAGTACCTATTGAAATGGAAAAGGTAAATAACCTCGTAACTTGTGCTTGGCTAATGGCATTAAAACACGGTATGAATGTAGATAGTATGGGAAAGATTATCTAGCTTTTGGATATGGAAAAGCTAGAAAAAAAGTTTTCAGTGTCTTACTTTTTTAACACTACAAACAAATGAAGTAAATCTGACTTTTGGTATCAACAGTTATGTTTTCCCATACAAAACTTAACAGGTTGTGGTAAGCTGTCTTTTTGTAACTCCCATGTTGGCTAAGGGTGCTAAATTCCTGACAGCACTGCTTTTTTTCCCCCTAAGTGTAGGCAGTGAATTGCCATTCTGAGTTATGTGGGCCTGATGACCAATAGCTGTCACAGCTTCAATTTGTTATGCTAATTTTATTGCAGTCCATGTCCTTGTCATCTTGTTCCAGCCTAAGTCACTATAAACCACTAATGAATATTACAAGTACCTTCCTGTGAAGACTAGCTGACGTATCTTCTTCAAGCCCTTTGAAAGACTGCATCTCCTTTAGATTCTTTGAAGTTCACCTCTCTGACCTTCAGAAATGTAGCGCTTTTAATTCCAGACTTCTACTTCCAGTGGAGATCACCATTTAAAACAGTTAACTTTTACCATGCCGATACCCGCAGAGTACCAGTGCGTGAAAAACAGAAACACAGTACAGGTGGTATTTTACCAATTTCTGAAGTTCAACCTAAGGTATATCAGTTTTGCTCAAGTGGATTGCCTTCTCTGTGGAAGCTTAGTTTTAATAGTATATAGTGCTTTTGTTGCAATGCAGACATCTTTATATTAAAAATATACTCTTTCTGGCTGACAGGCCTGCTTAATTTTACGGAAGCAGCACAGTAATAGTATAGGTTAAAATTCTGTGTGTGTTTACATGGAGAGAAAGAGAGAGGCAAAAAGAAATGGAATGAAGAAGATGACAACAAGGAATTCTCTCAGGACTTCTTTGGAAAAATCTCTCCCTGAAAGGTGTCTGCAGACTTTTCTGAAACTTTTTCTCTTTGAATATGTCTAAAAATATTTCTTTACCCCTTTCTTTTACTCCTTTTTTTTTAACTTCAGTCGATATTGGTGTTTTCCATCTATGCTTCATTGCTATCCATAGTAAAAGTGGAACAGTGAAAACTTCCACTACCTCTTTTCTTCTATCATATCAACTATATAAAATGACAGATGACAGAATCATGGAAGTGTTCGTTTGAAGAGATCTCTAGGAAGTTTTCGAGTCTAACCTCCTGCTCTCCTAGTGTCAGCAGTGGGATTGCTCCTAACACAAGGTGATGGGCTAGTCGTGGCTTTATCCAGCCAAATCTTGAAAACCTTCAAGGGCAGGGATGTTGTGACCTCTCTGGACAACCTCTAGTGTTGCACTGCTCTCCCAGCAAATGTTTTTTTCCTTAGTGTCCAGTTTGAAAGTTCACAGCCAAAATTGTGTTTTGCCTCTTGTTTTATCTGGCACTACCAAGAAGAGTTTGGCTCTTATCTTCATAACTGTACTTGAAATAACCATAGGCAGGTATTGGGTCACCCCCAGCCTCCTTTTCACCACACTGAACAAGCCCATCTCTCTCCAGGTATTCACAGAAGTGTGCTGTCACCAGACTAATGGCATTGCCTTCCTCCAAAGCTTTTTAGCTTTGCTCTTTAGCTTTCCGTACAGGTCAGCTTTGGTTGCTGCAATTCTTCCTTTTCCCCTTTATGTCCCCCACCCTTCTTTTCTCCACAGAGAAATAGAAAGAGACTTCCTTGGAAACACTCAAGAGTTCAGGTCTTTTTTCTTTTTTTTTTTTTTTTTTAAGTAAGGTAAAATAGATGATAAAATTGTGTAAACAAGCTATTATGACTTTTGGGGGCTTATTTTCATGTGAATGTAGCATAATTAGTAGAGGCTTCTGTTCTGGACTTAAGATCAGTTCTTGCATTCATATAACATTCAAGACCCCAGTTCTGAGTGCCGACCAATTTTAGTAAGCATCAGAGCTGAATGCGCTAGCAAATGTTTGAAGAGAGCAAGAGACATTGTATTGACATAAGCTACTTTTAAGGCATGTTTTGAAACTGGAGAGCAGGCTAGGCTTTCTCTGGATAAAGGCAAGGAATTTTCTATACAGTTCCTTGCCCAGGTAGTGTGGGTTTATATCTGCCTGAATACAAAATGCTTAAAGGCTTTAGGTAGTGAAAGTTTTTGTGTTGGTTTTTTTTTTTTTTTTTTAATTTCTGTTGCTAGTTTTAAATCTGGTTCATGAATGTCTGAGATCGTAGTGGGGAGGAAGAAGGAGGGAAAACTAACTTGATGGATTTAACTGGTCTCTTCATAGCTGTTAAAATATGGCACAGTTAATGGGAAGATGGTAAGTCTTAAGTTTCTGAAAATAAATACCTATCTCTTTCCTAGGGAAATTTAGGAGGGAAAAAATGTAGGAGTGTAATCCTATGCTTCTATGTGCCTTGAAGTCTGTGGATCAATAGCTAACTAGTAGTGCTACTGTATGCTTGCTTTTTCAAGTATCCTCATGCACAATTATTTGCCCCTTCATGCTATCCAGTGGCGTAACTGGGTAGTGCAGTTCCCTCAGGAAGCCTGTCTGGAGCAGAGGAAGACAGAAAAGAAACCTTAACCATAACAATCATGCCACTCTGTGTGGGGATGTTGCAGATGTAATTTGGTGGTGAATAAGCAGCTTAGAATTGCTTTCTTTTTTTAAAACACCAAACTAGAGACTCAGTTTAGAAATGTAATCTGAAAAATGGATGAGGTTCACGTTCTGGAGCTGAAACTAGGTACCTATGCTGTTATGGTAACAGAATGAGTAGTTTTCTTATCCAAGCATTTGTAGCTTTTGGCAACTTTAAAGGTGATGGTAACCACTTACACTTCTGAAATTTAGGTCTCCATGTTTTTTCTCTCCACTTGAAAGTGGACTCATGCTACTGCATGACGTCCCATTTATAGAGAGAAGTGCACAGTTTTAACGTTCTAAGCTGAAGGAATGAGCAGACATACCAATGCTTCCTGTTTGTGGTGGTTGAATTCCAGCTGAAATGTGCACAGCCATGGCATAGAGAAATAGTCAATGAGAGTTCAAGTGGTCCTTTCCCCTGTACTATGCTTCTGAGAGCATGATAGTACAGCTAATGTTTCTGAGGTCAAGTGTGCGTGGTCATTGTTCTTTAAGAGACTAACGTGGGGAAGGAGGTTTCCAACCTGTAACTTGCCCAAATATACCGAGGTTCGAAATGGTATTCTCATTTGAGATCCATTAATGTAGCGTAAGTGGACACACACTTCTCTGATATCTGCTGTAAAGGTACATGAATCATAGCGCTCACTACTGTGATGGGCAGTAGTGACTGTATTGAATCACTAGTCTAGCCACAGACAAACTGTCGATGTTTTAGGAGGTCCTTGTCAAAGTGGAAAGGTTCCAGCTTTTCAAAGCTTGTGAGATCTGGTATGTCAATATCTGATTGAGTGGCTATAGACCAGGGCTTCTTGGTTGCTGTTTTTTTTTTGAGGCCTAGATTGAGGACAAGTTGAAAGCAATGCCAAAACCATGACTATGGGGGAAAAGGGTTGCTTCCTAGTGTGCAAGTATACATCCGTTTCCCTTTCCTTTTCCAGTAGTATGAGCTGGGGATAGGCGGAATGTGGTTTTGGGTCCCCCAGGTCTATCTGCCCCACCATGGCCATGCCTTTGTGGTACCAGTGTCCCTCTGTCAACCACATACCCATGCTGCTTCCTCTTGCTTTTCCATTATGGCAGGTATTTGAGACCCACTGTCACTTTTTCTGTTTCTTCCAAACATTGCTATAAAAGCCCATTAACTGTGCTCCACTTCTTGATCCTTCCTTCTGTTCTTGAGGTCTTCTACTCTGGTATAGATATCTCCTCCTTCCTTCCTTTGAGCCCTCCTATGGAGTTACAAGCTCAATGTTCCAAGTCTCCTGACGTTCCCCTTCCTCCTCCTTCCTCCTCCTTCCTCCTGCCTTCGTGTTTCTCTCCGTACAGGTGCCAAACTGAGGAGCTGTTACTCAAGTATAAAATCCCTCTCTTGGGTTCTGTGTCTCCTTCCCAAGCAAACATTGGGGGTTTACTACAGAGAAGCAACACTGCAGCATTTTCTGTTAAACAGCTGGAATGAAGTTTTGCACTCACAAATTTTCAGAAAGCCTTTTTCAGCCATAGGCTTGCAAGAGTAGTTTTTTAGGGCCCCAGCTGGGGATGCTGTCAACAGACCACTAAACTATCTGTCCTTCACATTCCAAATGTGGCCCACAAGATAGCTGATTAAAAATGTTTTTGGTATTGTACATTGTGATCTTACAATGAGAATCGCAAAGAAGGCTAGTTTAAGCTAGAATTCAGTATACAGGTTACCTAATTTCCAATGATTTTAGTTCCTTGATGGATCTGTAAGTTAATCTGAAAGCATTCTCTGCTTAACATGATCTTTCCTACGTGCAGAGTGTTCTACCGTATTTTGTGGCAACGAAAATGTCCCAAATCCGCAAGCCAACCTTCAGTAAGCCCAGTCCTGAAACTTATGTCAGAGCTGCCATAGGCACAGTAGGCCTGCAGTCCCAGACCAACGGGTGCCTACCCCATGCAGTCATGGTAAGTTGCCTTGGAAAACATAAGGATCTGGAATGTCTTTTGTATGTGTCTATTATGAAAAAAGGTTATAGAATAATTTTGAATACTAAATATTTTCGTTCTTTAACTTCTAATCATAACTTGGTAATATTTGTGTGTGCTCGTAACTGTTAGGTTTCACTTAGTACAGGCTATAAAAAGTTGAGACTTTTCCTTTTTTTTTTTTTTTTAGGGATGGATCTGCTCTCTTCTACCTACACCTACTCTCATTAATTTCCTCATGAAAACAAACAAACAAACACGGGCTCGTTATTTGAAAAAAATGAAGGAGAAGTAAGTTGGAGGCCACTTGATCTCGGAAGCCTGGGACTCCTGCAGGTTCCATACCCACGCGGCAGCACCAAGTAGACGTAATGTTCTAAAAATCTTCAATTGTAGATGTACTTTCTAACAAGCAAAACAGTCTTGTTTTGAGGATACAGATGAAACAAGACTGTTAACACCTAATATTGATTTAAAAATAAGCTTTATATGTTTATAGATATTATGAGGGGGGGAAGTGCTTTGGACTAAAATTGCACTGTGCTTTAAGAAATACTTACATGGACTTGATCAGACATTGCGCTGTTGAGGAACAGCTTGGTTATATAGTGTCCATCACATCTATGTATTGTGTGCGTGGGTGAAGGGCAGAAAAATAGTAGTTCTCGCATATTCCTGGACAGGTGGGGAGGAGTGGGAAGGGAGCATATTTGTTTAGAAAGGTAACCTAGCACTATTGACCGAGTATAACTTTAGCAGCTCAGGTTACTTGCAAGGACTCTGCATTGTCAGCCAGCTCATGAGCACTCCCCTGCTTACGCGGTCCAGTGGGATTTTTGGTTATGAACTTGAGGGAAATGGGCCAAAAACCAAAATGAGTGTAACTGCTCATCTATAAATATATACATAAGATAACATTGCAAAAAGTACTTAAATTCTGGGTTGTTGAATATGGATTCTAACTTTTCAGTAATATGTAATCTTTACAATTTGTAATAACAGTTTTAAAAGTTCAGTGCCTGCTCTTTGTAATAGGTGGTGATAACACAATGTAGCTAAACGTCACAAGTTATGTGTTATGTGCTGGTTGCTATGTAAAAGATTATGGGCACTTCAAATTGCAGAGCTTGAAATGAGTTACTCTCCGTGTTAATAATGATGGTTAAATTGTCTTTGAAGTATGTGTCAATCTCTCTTTTTGGTGAGGCCCTTTGAAATGTGAGTCCTGAATATTTGAGACAGCTTTAAAAATAAGAACCAGTAAACAACTTCTTTAAATGTAGAATGTTTTTAATTTAATTGTGTTTAACTGATTTGTTTCATGGTTCTATTCCAAAATGGAGTGCTCCAGTGAGGCTGAAGTTACCAAACTCCAGGAGACAGGGATCAAAGTATATGAGAAGTCTGCGCTGCTGTTGTGTGTATTTACCTACTCTTTAAAGTTCCTTTTTTATAAACGTTAAATGTACTGATACTTACAAGGCAAATCAAATTGCAAGCAGCTACCAGCATTTTCTGTGGTGACTTCCTATGGTTGAAGAGTGGAGGCTGTTTTCTGTCCTTGTAAGAATAATTTCAAGCTCTGATTTTGAAGTAAAATACATTGTACTGAGACATGATTTGGGGCTAACATTTCTGTACATTGAAAAAACCTGAATACCGATGCAATGGTGCTGATCAAATCTGAGATGCAGATCCTATTCCATAGTTTTCTTAATTTTTTGGAACAGGGATGGTAAAGTCAGTTGTGTTAGTTCTGTAAGAGCACATGACTTGGTTTGCTCTGGATCTGGTGTGGGAGTGTTGGACTAAACAATCTGTATGGTTTTGACTTTATAAAACAAATAAAATGGAATTTACTCTGAATCTTTAATGTGTTGTTTTTTTCCTTAAAATATTTGCCTGTACATTCAAATGCCTGATTGTCCTCTAGCATATATAATAATGCAGTGCAAATTACTGTACTTTTACATGCCAAAACCAAAGCTTTTATTAATCTGTTTTCCTGGCTGTTATCTATTTTACAGTGCTGATATTTTAAAATCACTGGAACACAAAATTAACTGTTAATTAGAATTATTAATTAAGCTATTAATAAGAAATAGTTATTTCCAAATAAGAAATAGTTATTTCCAAATAACAGGTTTCTAACTTTTGAAGGTGTTCGGAAAGATATGTCTGAGGGGAATAGCACGCATACCCAATTGGCACTGAAGCAGCGGTGCCCTGCAAGGCAGGATCTGGTGGCGGGGTGGATGGAGCCTGTGGTCGTCTTGCTGCCCTGCCCTGTCTGTGGTGCTAGGAGGCTACAGACTGGGTTCCCACTCTCATGCTTCCTCTGAGGTCTTTTTTATTTTCCAAACTGCACTTTTTAACCTAAATTGCCCTGACTTTGCTTTTGAACATCTGCTCACCTCAGCAATTGAGATGATGTGAGTATTCAACAGCTTTGAAATATCCTGAGCACGTGATAGAAAACAGGGTGGGTTTTCTTGTGGTACTATTACTGTCTCTTTGCAGCTCTGCTCTGAAGGGTGTGTTTGTCACTGATGCAACGCAAGAGCTGGAGTGAGTTTTCACTCAAGTAACGTGTCTGCCCCTCTCTTCCCAGGGAGCCGTCCCTGCCAGCACACGCTGCCCTGCACACCAGCGGTGCAGACCCCTTCCCAAAAGCAGGCCTGCTCCCCAGTGAAGGTAACCGCTGCTCCTCCCTGTGCCCAGCCAGGAGAGGGTGGCGAGGCCTGGGACAGCCGCCCCTCAGCCGCCCGCCTCACCCGGGAATGGCGCGGGACTGAAGGGAGGAGAAGCAGCTCGGTCCAGCCGGTAGTGTCCAGCCAGGGCCGCTGCCATGGCCCACGCCTGGGGCGGGAGGGGTCCAAGCGCTGAGGTGGTACCGGGCTGGCACTTAAAGTCGTTCTCGTTTCCATCATTAGCTGTAACTTTACAAATCTGTTCCCCATTGTTCTGAACATGGGGGAATAGATATCTAACTTACACTGCTAGTTAAAAAGTAGCCATGTTTTGGACAGAAGCCCTTTAATTTAATTAATGCCCCATCCTTGGAAGGGGGAAGGGGATAAAACCAGGCTTGCTTGGGATGAGCTAGGGCTGGCATGCCTGTGTTGGTGAAGAGATCTATAGCCCAACTGAAGTGCATTTACACCAATGCACGCAGCATGGGCAATAAACAGGAGGAGCTGGAAGCCATTGCGTGGCAGGAAAACTATGATGTGGTTGCCATCACGGAAATGTGGTGGGATGACTCACACAACTGGAGTGCTGCAATGGATGGCTACAAGCTCTTTAGAAGGGACAGGCTAGGAAGGAGAAGGGGAGGGATAGCCCTGTATGTTAGGGAGTGTTTTGACTGTCTAGAGCTTAACGACAGTAATGATAAGGTTGAGTGCTTATGGGTAAAGATCAGAGGGAAGGCTAACAAGGCAACTATCCTGGTGGGAGTCTGTTACAGACCACCCAACTAGTACGAAGAAACAGACGAAGTATTCTACAAGTGGTTGGCTGAAGTCTCACAATCTCTAGCCCTTGTTCTCGTGGGAGACTTCAACTTACCAGCTATCTGCTGGAAATACAACACAGCAGAGAGGAAGCAGTCTCGGAGGTTCCTGGAGTGTGTGGAAGATAACTTCCTGACGCAGCTGGTAAGCGAGCCAACCAGGGGAGGCTGGACCTGCTGTTTACGAACAGAGAGGGTCTGGTGGGTGATGTGGTGGTCGGAGGCTGTCTTGGGCTCAGTGACCATGAAATGATAGAGTTTTCAATTCTTGGAGAAGTAAGGAAGGGGGTCATCAAGACCGCTACCCTGAACTTTGGAAGGGCAGACTTTGGGCTGTTCAGGAGTCTGGTTAACAGAGTCCCTTGGGAGGCAGTCCTGAAGGGCAAAGGAGTCCAGGAAGGGTGGACGTTATTCAAGGAGGAAATCTCAAAGGCGTAGGAGCAGGCTGTCCCCATGTGTCGCAAGTCGAGCAGGCGGGGGAGAAGACCGGCCTGGCTGAACAGAGAGCTTTGGCTGGAACTCAGGAAAAAAAGGAGAGCTTACCACCTTTGGAAGAAGGGGCAGGTGACTCAGGAGGGCTACAAGGATGTTGTGAGGATATGCAGGGAGAAGATCAGAAAGGCGAAGGCACAGCTGGAACTTAAACTGGCCACCGCTGTTAAAGACAACAAAAAAAGTTTTTATAAATATATCAGTGACAAAAGGAGGGCCAGGGAGAATCTCCCTCCTTTGTTGGATGCA